TGTTAAACATCACAGTAAATGTTGAAAATTCTTACCATTTTGTTCAAGGCGCATGTTCAGTACTTTTTGAATTTCCAAAAAGTTCTGTAACATCATTTCATCAATGCTTTGGACCCATTGTCAAATTTGATATTGTAACGGGAACTCATGACAATGAAGGTGTCTTGTTCAACAGAATAAATCCTTTTCACAAAAACAACATTTTCCTGCACAAGCACTAAAAGTTTTAAAAACGATGACTTTAAGTGACATTAATGACAAGTAAGAACTGTCATAATGATGCAGAATTTCAGCGAAGCGGGATGTTTGAAATCCATGGCCAACTACGCCCTTAGAATCATTTATAAAAATCCTGTATAATTTGATGGTGCGAATTTTATTTTTTAAGACTAACCCTATGAATTCACATAAAGTTATGTGTAGCAAGTTTAGTTGGTAGGGATAAATAGACTAATTTTGTTTAGCATTCCACCATCTACACGATATTCCTAAAATACATATAAAATTTGAACAAAATCGTACAGTAGTTTAGAAGATGATCTGTCTAATGAAAATCGACACAGACAGACAGACAGACAGGCAGACGACAAACAGACGGAAACGGGAGACGTATTGTTTCATACTCTAGAAGTTCTGTCGAAAAAAGGTGAAAATAGCCATTAGTCGGATGGACCTTATCAGAATAGTTCTTTACTATACTTGTGATAACCCGTATACATAAAAATGTAGATAATAGCAGTAACGGTGTAAGAAAAAAAGAATAGAATATGAGAAGGAATCGTCCTATTCACCGTCGTTTATAACTTATTTGTCTACCATTGAGATTTTTTGTGAAAATTTTGATGCCTATGGTAAAAAATCAATTTTATAAAATTTAACTCGCTTTTACTGAAAAAAAAAGTTCAGGGGACGCAATCAAATTGTTGGTGGGGATAATCAGAAAAATTTTGGTTAGTATAATCGGTCCAGTTATTTGGGAGATTATCTGTCTAACAAAAATCGACACAGACGACAGACAGATGTCCAAGGGAAACCACTTTTTTGTATTCTAGGAATCACTCAATGTTGAGAAAACATGAATGTAGCCAATCGAATGATTGACCCTATTACAATAATTCCTTTAATAAGAATGAGATTCGAACCCACTCGTCCACAAGGTATTTGATGCATGAGAAAGATATTGGCTACATGAAACACGTGGAAACACACGGATAAAAAATAAAAATAAAAATTGACATAGGCAGACAGACAGAAACTAGTTTTTCGTTCTGTAAGGGTCATGAGATGTCAACAAAACATGAAAGGATCCATTCGCCTATTACAACACTTATAATTTGTAGAATTTGGAAACCTATTTTTAATTTAATTTATTCAATAAAATTGTTTAGAATATCAACGCTATAAGGACACATTTTTAAAACTTCTACTAGGATCAATTACTTCATTAAGTTCATTGGAAATATTTTTAAATTTACGAATCTCTGCGGCAGAACACGAATTAATTGATTTACGTGTGTTGTTCACAAACCTATTAGGCTCGGCATAGACTGGAAATCCCACATTTAAAAATTACATTCTTTTATCTGAACGTCATATTTTCACTGCTATTATTGTATCCCACTGCGATGACTTTGCAGAACCAACGCTGCTAGTTGGCGAGTATAATATGCAGTTTTTCGAAATGCAATAAAGCCGTTACAAATATTGCAAGACACATGAAGGAAAAACACGCAGCAAGGTTGGCATGATCAGAACAACTAAAATTAAGACAAATTACACAGTGACGCGTACGCTACTGTTTTTCGTGCATTATGAGGAAGTGCACAGTTCATCTCAAATTTGCCCAGTTTGGAGTCAATTTCGCCGTATACTTTAGAGTTATTTGACTGTTAACGTGTTCTTGTAATTCAAGATGAGTAATCGTTTCACACAAGCAAAACTATAATTTTGAAAATGTTCTTTTCACTACTAGAGTTGATTTTGACTGTAATTATTGTCATGGGTTAATGGCAGAACAAATGACAATCAAAGTAAGTAAATCACTGATGAGAGTAATAATTATTTTTGCAGTCAGTGTGATATCTTGTGTTAATAGCACCTACAAAATTCTCCGAAAATTTAAAGTATAATTTCAATGTCTAAAATAAATGTGATATTCTCTGATGGTAATTTTTTTACTTTTTGTCGCAGGAATAATAACTCTTAAATGCTAATTTTAGCGTAGGTGTATGCGTACGTATCCCAAGTGACATTTTGCCTTCTACTACACAGGAATAACAAACAAACATAAAGCACTACATCCTGTTTATTTTAGTTTGGCACACTGACATAATTCCTCGTTCTGCTAAGGCAAACACAGTGCCGACAGTTAATTTGTACAACCTGCTGTAAATATTTGGTATCTAATTTGGTTAGTTAATCATCGAGACTATATCGAAAGCAAATTATTCTTAGCAACGCCTGGTTGATGAAAACAGTGATTATTTAAGTAATTTAGTCTATAATTTATTCAGCTGACATAAATGGTATAAGTCACAATATGCCGGCTCCAATAAAAATAAGTTTTTTGGTTATGATATTCTACATTACGTATGTCTACAGTGTCTTAATTTCATATGCTACGGAAGAACAGTGACACTGACAGTCTTCGTCAAAACAAAATTTTCAAAACACTGAGATAAAATAATTTCCATTTGTGATGATGCCCTACATGACAATTTTAATACTGATCTAGTTAAAACAAATTGTGGGGACTAAAAATGAATTGCAACTTACTGTGACTGTACAACAAGGCTCGTTAAGTGGTAATGATAATAATTACGAATCTCTATTCGTATTGTCTAAGAAATTACAACGAAAATTTGCCTGCTGCACTCTGGCTAAAATATTTACGTAATAAATTAAATCTGAAATGAAAAAATGTCGTAATAACAGAGATCAGCGCAGACTTAATTCATATCTTCGCCTAACCAACATTTCAAGCCCACGAGCAATAAATTAAAAGTATTAAATGTTTTATTTGGGAAATTTGGACGGTTACAAAGCGGCTAGTGTCAGCCGAGATGATAACAGATGGCCAGAAAGGAAGACGCTCTAAATCTACTCTGACAATTTTAATACGAAAATCTAAATGAAGAGACTTGGAAAGAGTTTAATTATCGTCTCCAATTCATACTTTATCAGATACGTAAGTTTTTATCAAAAAGTTCTTTAATAATCACTAACAAAATGGTTCCGGAATTCAGACAAAGGGCTTTTTTAATTAAAATCCTCTTTACATTTGAATAGTCCCAGTTAAATTATAAATACGATAAAGCCGCTTCTAGCCGTGTGCAGAGCAGAATTCATATATTCTCAACATGGGTCGCATGCAATTCAGAACACAAAGCACAAAAAGAACAAATATAAGAAAGGAAACACACGAACATAATAATTTGAAGCACGTAGTTTCATACAAGCGGAAGTATAAAATTAAGTTCTAACCCTATGTAGTGAATATTTATTGGCAGTGGAGAATATGCCTTGTTTTGGACAAATTAAAAACGAGATGTTTACAACAAACGTAAAGAGGATTACGTGGAAGTTTCCATTCCATGAGGATTTGCTTTAATTTTCTATTTCGGAGAGATTCAAACTTTCAACATTGTAACTGCTTCTTAATTCTTGTGATTCTCTTTACTACTCACTAATTCCTTTCTAGTTACGTGCTTCACAAAATCGCAGATTCCATAAACACGGTAATACGTCTCTAATGCAAATTTATTTATTGCCGTATGCTTCTGACGTGCTCGGAAAATACCTACAAACGTCTTTCCATGTAATCGCTTACGACGATCGTTCCCCCACGTTTAACGATCCAAAACATATGGCGTAAAAGTGTTTGACATATGTAAATAGGAGGTTTATCGCGGTTTTTTCACCCACTCCAAAATGTTTAAATATTAAACGACAACATTTTCATGCTGGGTTTACAAAAAAGTCCATATTTATACCTGAATTCCATTTTATAAACGAGGAAATGCAAACATCAATAATATGTTTTTAAATATTTCACACTCTGGCGGATTATCGACACAACTGAACCCAATTTGATAGACTGAATGCAGCAACACTTGTGCAGAAAAAATATATATACAGGGTGATTTCGAAATTTGTGCAATGAAAAAAAAAGGGAATAGCTCACAATAAGATTTATTGCATTGTGTAAAGTTCACGCTCCTAAGTGGTAACTATGTCTAGAAAAAATTATTTGAAATTAAATTAAATTGTGACACGCCACTGGTTGTGTTTCTTGAGCTACAGTGACTACTACAATGAATGGCACAGACGGACTAGTATTAAGGATCAAAAAGCGCCGCACTGATCAGCAATCAGCAACGTACAAAAACACGATAACGATTCGATTTTTAATTTGTTTTTTCTATATTTCTATATCACAATTGATTACAATTATTGCACATATTTCGAAATCACCTTGTACCATATAAATAGTTGTTGTGGCGAATAATTTTTTGTGTTAACAGGTTTGCACATTGTAAAAGAATGTCCATGTAGCTTACTAACATTACTGGATAAAGAATACATTCTTTTCTCATAATAAAATATTTTCATGAGCCCAGACTTGCATTATTTCCGCTTGACCGCTTTTATTAAATTTCCATTACTAGATCGCAATAAAAAACCGAAGCAAGTTTCAAGTTGGCCATAACAAACCCAATTAAGTTGTCGACAAATGCTTGTAGCAGGCGCACCAACTACAAAACAATTATATGGTCGCAAGCTAAGTGCTTCTGAAACTTTGTAATTGCCGTACTGACCATCGAAAAACTCCGATTGAGAAGTTTGACCAAACGTTCTCTAGCGTAACATTCCATTATGGACTCGGACAACTCGAAAAGTTTGTTGTGTCAGATATGCAAAAAACAGAGTACTGCGTAACACATAAAACGCGAACAAAATGAGTTTCTTAACGACTCTCCTAACAAAATGTTTAATATTACCTTCTAAAGTTCCAGTATAAACGAATTTCGGATCGAAATGAATAGGTCCCCTCGTGGATTCAAACGTTACGTCTTCAGCGAACACGTCCTTATCCGGAATCAGTCGTATCTTGAACAACCTGCAAAAAGAAAAATAAAAGCTTGATGTAGATTGCTTTTTAAAAGTAAATCTGGGACTCTTAGACTACGTGAGATTAAATATCAGCAGTAAAAAAGTCACTTCGAGCTTAATCGAGTTCGATATTCCGATCAAGAAGTTAACTTTAAAAGTGGGTGAAGTTCTTCTAAGTTTTGATTAAATTCAACACTGTAATAATTTATCAATTATCTCTGATGTATGTAGGTTGTGAAAGCAAACTGTTTACAAGAATTAATTAAATTTGACGTTTTATTACAGTGTGTAATTTCAGTTGTTATTAATTACTACGAACATGCATCATATATCATAATTATATTAGACTATACAATGCGTGGCAAAAGTATGGAGTAGTAAAACCGAACTAACAAATAACACAAAATAAATTTAATATCATATCTTACAATGGACGTAGAATAATGGTGTTTAAGATTTTTATTTGCAATTTCATAAACATAGCGCAATAAATGTGGATATTGATTTGAATAATGGCCCAATTTGATTTAAAAAAATTGTTGGCTTATTCCATCTTTTTTTTAAGTGTTTACACTGAATAAAGGATTTACCGGTTAAACAGAATATATGACATAATTAATTACAATAATTATATTTAATGAAAGGCAAGTGGTAAATATGGTGGATGCGCCGGGTTAACATAGGCGGAAAATAGATGGCAACTAAAATCAATTTTACTAATCCATTATGGGTTTAATGTTTATTTGGTGAATGATTTATCTCAGAAGAACATTCTTTTGTATCAAATTGAAGTGGGCGTAACAAAACATGAAGTAAAATCGGATAAATCCATCTTTTATCAATTTTTACCGAAATGTGGATATAATCTTCTTTTTATACTTTCCAGGCATGTTTACTACACGATGCAGCTACAAAGAATGGAAATCTGCCTTACAATCCGGCTTTCCAAGCAAAACAAAACAAATCCTCGTTTTTTTCATTACCGCAGGTTTGATAAACAAATCTACTGAATTAAACTACGAGGAAGGTTAACACTTCTTGTTCGTGGGAGAGAAAGCTCTGATTGAGAAATGGAAAAATTTGTCGAAGATTATTTCGTCAGAACTTCCCTCGCCTATAAAGTACAGCCGAACAAAGACGGCCCTCTTCGAAAAATATAAAATTTAATTTTACAAATTTTATTTTTTAACAGAAACCCTATAAGTTAAAATAAAAATATGCGTTGAATATTAAAGTACAGCATGTTGTGTGTGTGTTTCAAGTGAGTTTTTTCGTAACAACATTTTGTGATGAAGTCATCAATATTTTATCAATGACACATTTCAGTTTGAATGCATGCAGTGTAACACTAATAATAACAATACTGTCTAGACACATTTTCGGAAAAATATCGTGAGCCGTTTTTGATTTGATAAAAATAAACAATTTGTTTTGTACCACCCTGCATAAGTTATATTAAAAACAATGAATCCACTGATAAACATCAAGTAAAGAGTCATAATATTTTTGTATTTTAGGTAGGATAAATTCAGCAAAATTTTGAGATCCCGTCAGCGGTTCGTCAGAGAGGGTGGGCAGATAAATTTTGATTATGCATTCACCATGCTTACGAAAACCGTAACATTTTTCCAAGATTTCAAAGCATTCGGTTTCGAAATTTCAATGTAAAATTATTGTAAATTCTTATACAATTTCCATTTTTTGCCTAAAATCTGGATATCTATAGGGTACAATCTCAACACGGTGTAAAGAAGCGTGCTACCAGGATGTTTCAAATGAATTTTTCTTTCACAAATTTTTGTGATTACGTCACAAACATTTCTACAAAGGCACGTATATCAATTTAAATAGCATTGACTCATTCATTAATATTTTTGAGTCACCCTGTATAAGCAATTCTAAAAGATATTAATGCAATGATAAATCACAAGTATAGATTCATCATATTTTGCACATTTTTGATAGAATTACTAGATATGACGTCATCAATTTTTAGGGAGGATAAATAGATCGATATAGTTTGATTAAAAATTCACCAAGCTTACGATAAATTTAAAACATTTGGAAGATTTCAAAACATTCGATTTTGCAGTCGCTTTTTAATCAGTAAAATAAATTGACTCATTCATTAATATTTTTAAGTCACCCTGTATAAGGCACCCTAAAACATATTAATGCAATGAATCAAAGTTGCCTGTGAAGCAAAACCAATACACCCTGTAGAAACATAATTTCTAAAAATACGAGGACCAGACGTTTTCCAAAATTTCAAAAATTATAAGAATTTTGACAATTTCATAAAGGAATATAATTTTTTTCTCCTATTTGAAGTTCTCAAAGTTCAATAAATCTTAAAATGCTAACAGTAATAATATTTATCCATTGAAGAAGTTGTTCAAAAATTGAAAGCCCTAAAATTTCAAATTCAGTTTCTAAAAAAAATGAAATTTGAATGGAATGAATTTAGATATTGTTCATTCCCAAACTTTGGTGTCTTCTTTCAGTTAAAAAATTATATCTAATTTTTTTATGTGAAATAGGGAATAACTTTTTTCAACCTACAAAATTATTTTGGCCAAAGTTGCCCCTGATACATAACCAATACACCTTGTAGAAAGATGATTTCTGAAAATATCTAGAACCAGATGTTTTTTAAACTGAAAAAATTCTACAAATTTTCAAAATGTCATGATTGAATGAATTTAGATATTGTACATATTTGAAACTTTGATGTCTTCTTTCAGTTAAAAAATATTACAAAATATGTTAGAACCACAAACATTTTTTTAGTATATATTTTTTTTTAAGAATGAGAGAAAATCTTAGGGGTCCCTTGTGTCTTTCTTAATTGGAAGAATAGGAGTGCCCCTACTGTCTTTTTTCTAAAGAATGTACTTTTTTTAAACGATTTGGTGAGAATTTGGAAAAGAAAATTTCGAAAAATTTGCAACTCTATTTAAGAAAATGAAATTACTGCGTATAGGATGCAGATGAAATGTAATCTTATTTACGCGGGCTTCATTCATCTCTGAAACGCAACAATAAGTAGAAGCAATTAGTTACCCGAGGTTTTAATTTTTGGTAATGTGAAATCCTTATTTGATTTTAGAACAAAGCCATTAGTTCATTGAAATGGAGAAGAGGTGGATGGGCGGGGCTAACTTTTTTAAATTTACATAAATATTTAGGTCAAAGCTGCCCTTGAAGCAAAAACAATACACCCCGTCATTTCTAATTATGCTTTCTAAGCAACAATATCACTTTTTAAATTTAACTGCCATGACTTTTTTTCCAAAATTAAATAAAAAAACACCACTTACCTAGGTATCAAATTAAGCTTACTCCTTCAAGCTAAAGGCAATGGTGTTTACAGAATTTCAGTATTTTTGTTCGTACGCGATTGTGTTTATAACATAAAATGCCATAAAGTTAAAAAAGTGTTCATTATTTATTGCACTCAAAAAAGATTCAATTAATTTATTTTATTAGATTACTTATTGATTTATTTATTTAAAAATGTCGAAAACGGAGAGCAGCGCCCTCTTGGTTTCACTGACTTTATTGATAAATTATTAAAATCGAATATAAACTTAAACTAATATTGCAGAAACACTTTCGATAATATAGGATGATAGGAAGGTTCCAAGGGCTGATAATTCAATTAGTTCACAAAAGTTCCCTGGTTTTGGTCCGAAATTTCTCTTTATATAGGTTGAATCGATTAGTTGTTTATGATACAACCGCAAACAAGTGGCAGTTTACTTTGCAGTGAGTACCCAAGTTTACGTAACGAGGCCGAAACCGAGCAAGATTAAGCACTCATTCCTTTTTACACAACTTTTTCTACGGCCGTAGCCGAATAGAAAAGATGCCAATAAGACATTTAAATCACACCTGATAATTATTAATGAGCTAAGAAAAATACATAAAGAACCATCGAGATTTAAAAGTTGTATTTTAACTTAATATTACAACGTTAATTAAAAAACAATAAATACACAATTACTGAAATTAATTACGACAATAACTATAAAGCTACTTTTAACACCAGCATTAAACTGTTTTCCAATTTACAGCAACGTTATTTTTAACGTAAACGTAAATCTTTGGCTTACCAAAAAAGTATCATTAATAAACAACGTCATATAAAGCATAAACGGGCCGATTTCTTAAAATTAGCTTAACTGCCCCGAACCTAACTTTGTCGCTAAAATAAAATTCCAGAACACCCGTAACGGGAAAGTTCCCATCGTGACGAGATAACACCACTAAAAACTCGAGGCCGTCCTCACGCTCAGGATAATCTCACTAAAAACTTGAGGCCATTACATTTCTGTTTTCTACTCACACGAAAAAGGTTTTCAGCTTAATTTTTGTCCGCTTCAATTATTATAATAGCGCCGTCCTCTAGCATTTTAATATAACGAAGGGGCGACTGCTCCCTGAATTAATTATGGATTATGAACAGTTTTCTTCAGCACTGTGTGTGTACGGTTTCGGTTACGCCGTTGTGGGTTTGGACCACTTAGCTTAGTGATTTATTTACCTCCAACTTCGGGAGTGTGACTAACTTTTATTTTGTGTCGCACTCGGAGGCCTCAGCGCTTTTGTCGTCACTTTTCGACATTAAGGCTTGAAGCTGTAAAGCCATAAATACAGTTAAGTTGACGCATATTTCAGAAAGAAACTCACAAACTCATGAATACCTAATATATTCCGGCTCTACAGATGAGCATTGCGCAAAACATTAACTTAGCATTGGATTTTACCAGTGCTTAAAAGCTTTTTTTAAATTATGACGGATTTTTACCGAAATACCAACGAAATGCCTCACGCTCCTTTGTGGATAAAATGATTTTAATTAATTATCCCTAATATCGACAGTGAATCCTTTTTAACCCTTACGCCGTTAGGAATTTTTTACACAGAATGACCTCAGGCTACTGTCATTTTCGCAAGTATTTTTTATTCACTTTTGCTACTCATTATAGATTTTAAAGTCAGAAC